CACAGACACTGTGAGACAGTAAGTGTGTGTGTCATTTTCAGTGGCTAAGTAATTTGTTACACAACAGGTAGTATAGAGGCTGAGAGATATCACCCAAAAAAACTGCGTAGGAATTGTACAGGGCAAAGGGGCTGTACCACCTGTGTTGCAATACCCCCTTCAGCAAGCATTCTCTCATCTTAACTCTCCTTCACTAAGTCAAATAAACATATACCACCCTATCCTAAAAAAAAGAAAAAAAACCACTTCTATGATGACATCCCTATTCTCTCTTCTCTGCTTTCCTTTCCCACCTAACTTCTCAAAGTTAAAAAAAAAAAAAAAAGTATGGTAAGTAAGATAGCATCCTGCCATAAAGGAGCTTGGTTTAGCCGACGAGAGATTTAGATGAAGTCCCTTCAGCACAGCTATGCCACAACAGGGAAAGCTACCAGGTCACAAAGGGGAATCAAAGCAGACTTCCCAAAAAGGGGTCACCCAGCTAAGGACTCTGAACTTGCTGTCACCGCCAGGCACTCCCCACTAGCATCCTCCTCCCTCCCAGCAGGTGGGCTCATCCTGTTATTGAAATGAAACTGCTCTTTCAGCCAAAGCCCTTCCCGGGAACTCAATCCAGAAGCCTCACCTCTTGGTTCTGATCCTGAGGATGTGGGGGTACCGGTACACTCCCAGAACAGTCTGGCCCAAGACATGACCTGCACTGTCGAGGCATGAGGTCAACAAGCCAGTAAAAACAATCAGGACTTCACCACCCAATTGTCTTCTCCAATAATGGTTTGATCCACATCTGACTCTCAAAGATGCTGAAAATTGTGAGTAGAGTTCTCTCCTGAAAGTTCAGCCCGCAGGCTGGCCCAGAACACCAAGCATGGCCGTCAGCACCAGCTTCATATAGTTCCTTCAGCCCTGGGAAAGGCGCTCACACACCCACATGTTGCTCCATGGGCCAGGAAGGGGATAAACCCAGCTTTGATAACCTCAGAGCACGGAAACAGGCTCTGGTAGCGTAGTGCCTAAGGCACTTGACTGCTCACCAGAAGGCTGGCAGTTCAAACCCACCAGCCACTCCTCAGAAGGAAGGTTGGGCAATCTACTTCCATAGTGATACTGCCTCGGAAACCCAAGGAGGGGTCGCTATGAGTCAGGTCCGACTCAACAGCACATAACAACAACAGCAAACCATCAAGAGCCACACATGCCAGGCGTTTCATGGGCTCCATACAAGAGAGAAGCGGAGGTCTCTAATTGAAAAATGGCAAACTTGCGAGTGGGGTGGCCAAGAAGAAAAGCCAAAGGATCTCTCTTCTCCCATCACTCTCTGACTCCTTAATTTTCACCAACAGCCTGACTGAGATCTGACAGGCTAGGAAGTCCTTGCCCTGGTGCTGGCCTTGGAACACTCACCCAGGGTCCAGTCGCAGAGTCACTGTGGCGTGAGATGGCTCCCAGGGCCTTGGCTTTAACCGCAGGGCCCAAGGCTGGAGTTTAGCAGTGCCTTCACTGCAAGTACAGTGGCGATGTCCTGGAGATGAACAGGGGCTCAAGCTAGACTCCCAGCCCTGGGGTAAAATCCGAGTCTTCCACGGAAGAATGAGTTACCTCCAGACTTTCACCTTAGTCAGAGGTTCCTGTCATCCCATTTGGGAGGCTGGTTAAACACTGCCCTCCTCCACAGTGGGCTAAGGACAGGAGACTGGACTGCAATTCTGCCAGAGGTTTCTAATGCAACTCATGATCACGTTTGCCTGGAACAGGTTGCCCTTCTTGGATCTAGATGGTGAGTTAGGAGAACAGAGCACCACATGGTCCCCAGCACACCCAGGCCCTTCATGATCCTGAAAGGGTCTTGGGCCTCACAGTGATGCTGAGGGGATAGGGACCCTCTCTATGAATGCCAGCTGTCATTTCCATGCCAGAGTAGGCAACCTGCACAATTTAACACATTCAAGGAGCCACAACAACACTGAGGAAGTGGTACTTACCATCACCCCCATTTTAAAGATGAGAAAACCAAGCCTCAGAGAGCTAGAATGATATTCCCAAGGTCATACAGCTGACAGGATACAGACCCAGGATTAAACCCAGGCCTCCCAGATTCCCAAGATTCCTCCTCCATAGCGGCCTGCTTGGCTGGTTTTGAACCATGCGAGTTCCCACCGAGAACCGGATGTATCTTTAGGTTTCTCTTAAACATGGCATTTCCTCAGACTGTCCTTGTTTGTGATGACCTTGACTGTTCTGAGGAGTACTGGTCAGGTATTTTGTAGGTTAATCTTCAACTGGGATTTGTCTGATGTTTTTCTCACAATTACACTGGGGTTATGGGTTTTTTTTGGGGGAAGATCATATAAGGAGAATCCCATTTTGTTCACATGATTATCATCACCATTAAATATCTGCATTGTACCATCAGGCTCACTGAGCTCTCCTAGTTAGGAAGCACACTGTTGACATGATGTATCAGTGCCAGTGTTGGCCTTAAGTGGCTGGCTAAGGGAGTGTCTGTCAGATTTCCCCACAGAAAAGTTACTCTTTTTCCCCCATTCCCACACTATACTCTTTGGATGGCAGTCACTATGCACAGTCTGCACTGAAGAGTGGGGAGTTATGTTCCACATCCTTGAGGGCCAAGTATCTGCTGAAATTATGTGGAATTCTGCACAGGAGATTTGGCTATTCTCCTTCTTTCATTTATTTAATCATTTTTTCATATCTGTATGGACTCATGGATATTTATTTTATACTTTAGGATATAATCCAATATGAATTCATTTATTTTGTTGTTCCAGTTTTGGCCACTAGGAGCTCTATCAGTTGGCTTCTGGGTCTCTTTGACAGATGCTGCATTTATTTTCAACTGACATCTTTGTTTTCTCTCCTCAACCAGAGTAGAATCTCCTCAAGGGAGGGTGAGGTATTGTGTAGGCTACCCTGAGCATCATGCCAGGCACACTGCACAACATACATGTATTGAATTGGAATGGAGGATGGAGAGACATTTTGGTTCTGTGGATGTGCTACCCAGTGACCAAGACTACTAATTTTCTTTTCTCCTTTCACTCAGGTGAAGAAGCCAAATAATGATGCCTACCCGCCACCACAGGGCTATAGGGACAAGCAGACAACATTATTCAGAGGCAACACAGTGCAAGGAGGTCACATGTTGCAAGAACATGGGGCTAGAGCTGCCAGAGCCGCTGTTGGGAGACCAAGAGTGGAGCTGCCCAGAGAGGGCTGAGCTGAGAGATGGGTCCTAAGACTCCTTTTGGGCTCAATGCCATGCTGCACTTGAGTGCGCCCTGCCCCTAGCTGTGAGCATTGTGGGCCACAACGAATTGCCTTTACATTTACTCTGTTCTGTTTCTTAAAGCTCAAGAGTCCTCACCACTCCTGTCTCACTGGCCTGTGGGGTTTTGTTTGTTTGTTTTGTTTCATTTATCATAAACAGTCAATGGAAGTGACATGACTGTTGAACTGAAAGGCACCAGGAGGCTGCACCAAGGCCTGGGACTCCTTTATCAATCCTGCAGGGGAGTGGACTCCAATCCAAGAGAGAAAAAGAATGACCTTTTGCTTCCTGAGCCCCCACGTTACATCTACTTACTGTCATCATCCAAGGACGATGAAGGGCATCAAAAAGTTAAGAGTTCACAAACAAGGAAACTTCATAACAGCCTCATCATTGCTAACCACCTATTCTACACTGTCAGATCCACGGAACTCCACTAGGCAGGGAAAGGCCACAAACAGAGACTTCCTCCTGTGAACTATCAGTTCCATCATGTGGTAAAACTGCATCAAAAGATAATGAAAATAAAAAGGTTTGAGCCAAGAAGGTCCTACAGTGAGCCCATGGTCAAGATGGGGTGTGAAGCCACAGAGCTGGTTTCTGCCAGCACTGGTCCATGCTTCCTCTGGCCTTCATGGGCCCTTCCCCTGGATACCCAGTGTTGTTGTAACCAGATATGCCTCTATTTCAGTAGAGCAGAGTTTATCACGAGTTACTAGGCTGCTGCATTAACCCAGAAGAAAATGGGGAAGGAATGTGCAATCAATGTCAGACAGAAGGAGGGGAAGGGCTCTCTTCCTTGAGCTTTGGTTTTTCTCAACAAGAGACTCAGTAAGTCCCACTGATCCATGGAGGCAAAGCACAACAGATGTGAGGAAGGTTATTTGGCCCATTATCTGACAGGCCAAAGGCAGAGAGACAAGCTAATCAAGCTCCTATGATTTCCAAATAATGAGTCCACTTACAATTAGTTAGGTCTTGTGCGTGGGACCCTCAACTGGAAAAAAAAAAGCTGTTTTTTCCTCATTTGTATCAGTGCTTGGCCCAAGGACAGTGAAGTGAGAACAGAATGGTCCAGAAGAAGAAGTGGTGCTGGGGTCAAGAGACCTGGGCAGTTCTAGTTCTAGCTTTGACCCCATTTAACTACCTAACTGAGGCATTTAATCACTGTGGGCTCCAGCTTCCTTATCTATAAAAGGGATCAAAAACCTTCACTTTTTACCTTGGTGGATTATGAAGATAAAATAAGACGTAGCAGGTGTGAAAAAAAATTAGGTGCACATTACAGCCCCCAGAAAGTATCAGGACTCCAACAACAGAACCTTCTCAAGGGATGTTCAGTGGCTCTCACACCCAAGCACAAGGAGGACATAATCTATTTGTCTGCTGGGGCACTGCCTGGCACCTGTGCAAGGCATGTGAGCAGCCCAGCAGAGCCCCTCCCCAGAAGGTATAAACCCACATCCAAATGGACACAGAGCTACGTTGTTTCTAGGAAAGACATATTTTTGTGTTATTTTCTTTCACTAAAGGTTAGTCATTAAATGTATAACTAAGTGTCTTTGTGCCTCTCTGGTTCTCTGTAAGGCTGTTCACATACGTGAATCCCCCAATCAGAAACCGACCACCTCCACTCCGCTCACACAACCTTGGCTCAGCCAATCCTTACCACACCCCCTGCGCTCTCCTTAGCAACCTGCTGAGCACCTACCCACTCCGGCTGCTCAGTAGGCTCTCCTTGTTTGTGATCAGAGTCCACAGGCGGGGGCAAGTAATCCTTCACTGGAGTGGTGAATTCCACAGGTCCTGTTCCTGGCAAGGGAAGTTTCAGCAGTGGGCAGCTGAGATGCACAGAAAGGAGAGAAGAGTTAGGCCACTGTGGGAGGCAGAGCCTGCTGTGAGATTAGTGTCACAGGAACCACTGGAGTTGCAACAAAATTCTCCATACCATGAGTGTGGTGGTTACGTGTGTGTCAACTTGGCTGGGCCTGGTTGAGTGGCTGGGCAGCTGACTGTAGTTATTCCCCATGGTGAGATTGGTAATCATCTCCATGGTGGAATCTATTGCAGCAGCTGAGTAGCTGCTTTGGGTATGTGGTCTGCTTCCCGTATATAAGAAATAGCTTTGGGAATGGTCTCCAGCTTATAGGATGCTTGAACCCTACATGTAGCTGTGTCATTGTTCAGTGGACTGCTATGCTCTGCCGACCTTGGGACTTTCAGTGGACTTGAATTAATGGCCTGTCGTGTGGTTTGGTAACATTGGGACTGTGCCATTTTATTTGTCGACCTTGGGCTTGTTAGTCTCAGCAGCCTGAGTGAAGAGATGCCTCTAGCTTCAGTGGGCTGGGAGCAAGAGGCAGAGCTGAAGCCCAAGGTCGAGGGGCTTTCATATAGCCCCTAGAGACTAGCACTTTGAACTTGGACTTAAAGCCTCCAAACTGTAAGAGAACAAACTCCTGTTTGTTCAAGCCATCCCATTTGTGGTATTTTCTTTTCAGAGTGGCACTAGGTAACCAGAACAATGAGGATAGAGAAAAATGTAAAAAATTTAACAACCATAAAATTTCCAAGCTATGAGGAACTTTAGCAGGCATCTAGTTAAGAATTTCTCAAACTTATTTTAGTCAGAGAAAACTTACAAGGAACCTTAATTCATTAAATAGACTGAATATTTTAGAGGCTTAATAAAGGCAAGATACTTTTGAGAACATAAACTGCTGCCAAATTAGGTATATGTCAAGACAACTATAAAAAAACAAGAACAAGAGACTTAAAGTATTTGCTCCAATTTAAAAGAACAGGTCATGACATTCATATACAATGCAATGAAAGTGTGGATGTCTGTTGAACGCAAGGCAACTGACCCACCACCATACACAAAAGAAAAACCTTGGTCTTACATCAAAAAGTTGGCAAATGGATGTGCATTGTTTTAGGTGTCATTTTCTTCTTTTAACTTAAAAAAAAAAAAAAAACCTGAAATACAACTTTTATATAGTACAATGCCCAAATCTTCAGGTACAGTGCAATGAATTTTTACAGGTGCACAAACCTGTGTAACCACTACCCAAGATCAAGCTACAGAACATTCTGAGAACATCAGAAGGCAGACCTGTGCTCCCTCCTAGTCACCGACACTCCCTTCTACTGAAGGTAACCACTGTTTGAACCTCTATCATCACAGCTTTGTCTGCTTCTGAATGTCATGTAAGTAAAACAATCCATTCCACTTACGTACTCTTGCCACTGGCTGCTTCCACGAGTAATATCTGCTAAATTCATCTACATTATAGTACATGTACTGATAGATCATTCCTTTTCATGTGCTATTCTACTTTATAAATAACCACACTGTATTTATGCATTCCACTGTCAAAGCACATTTGCTTGCTACCAATTTGAGCTGTTAAGAATAAAGCCATTTTACAAATATTTTGTTACCTATATATTTTCCACAATTAATACACACACATACACACAAATATATGAAATAAACATAACTACTTTTATATATGGTTTTTGGCAGACATGTTGTTGTTAGGTGCTGTGGTGGTTATGTTTGTGTGTCAACTTGGCTGAGCCTGGTGGAGTGGCTGGGCAGCTGGTGGTAGTTATTCCCCATGATGAGACTGGCAGTCAACTCCATGGTGGGATCTACCACAAGCAGCTGAGTAGCTGCTTTGGGGATGTGGTCTGCCTCCTGTATATAAGCAGAAGCCTTGGGAATGGTCTCTAACTTATGGCACACCTGCCATGCTCTGCCAACCTTGGGACTTAAAATGGACTTAAATTTATGGCCTGCCACGTGGTTTGGTAACATTGGGCTTTTGGTAACTTTGTGCTTGTTAACCTTGGGCTTTTCAGCCTCAGCAGCCAGCAGCTGTCTGAGTGAAGAAACGCCTCTAGCTCCAGTGGGCCGGGAGCAGGAGGCAGAGCTGGACCCCAAGGTTGAGGAGCTTTCACCCAGCCCCTAGAGCCTGGCACTTTGAACTTGGACTTAAAGCCTCCAAACTGTAAGAGAATAAACTCCTGTTTGTTAAGGCCATCCCATTTGTGGTATATTCCTGTCAGGGCAGCATAAGGTAACCAGAATAGGTGCCATTAAGTCAGGTCCAACTCACAGCGACCCTATGCACAACAGAATAAAACCCTGCCAAGTTCTGTGCCAGCCCCACAAATCTTTGCTATACCTGAGCCTGTCATTGCAGACACTACGTCAATCCATCTCATTGAGGGCCTTCCTCTTTTTTGCTGACCCTCCACTTTACCAAGCATGATATCCTTCTCTAGGGAATGGTTCCTTCTGTCAACATGACCAAAGTAGGTGAGAAAAAGTCTGCCATTCTCGCTTCCAAGAAGCATTCTGGCTGCACTTCCCCCAGGACAGATTTGTTAGTTTTTCTGGCAGTCCATGGTACTTTCAGTATTCTTCACCAACACCACAACTCAAAAGCATCAACTCTTCTTTGGTCCTCCTTATTCATCATCCAGCTCTCACATACATATGAGGCGAATGAAAATACCATGGCTTGGGTTAGCCGCACCTTAGTCTTGAAAGAGACATCTTTGCTTTTTAGCACTTTAAAGAGGTCTTTTGCACACCAAACACCAGGCTACAGTTAAACACATCAACATCTGAGAAGACCAGATGGGGGCCAGTGAACAGGATTATACACTAGACCAAGGACAGATTCAGCTGAGGCTAATCTTGCACAGATACCAGTGATAAAAAATACCTGCAATCCTTACAGAAACAATAGCAGACAGACATAAAGCAATCCCTCACAGACAGCAAGACACCATGGGAGAGACATCCAATGGATCTACCGACTCAGGACCATAGTACTGGGGGACACCAGACTCAACTGGCACAATACATAAAAATCTTGTTCTACAACCTACTTTGGTGAGTAGTGACTGGGGTCTTAAAAACTTTCAAGTGGCCGTCTAAGATGCAGCTGATGGTCTCCTATTGTCGGAAGCTAAGAAGAGTGCAAAAAACCAAGAGCATTTGGAAGCAATCAGCCCTAGGACATGATGGACCTCAAGACCAGAAGAACAAGATGGTGCCAGCTACCAATGCCAACCACTCAGGAAAGGATCAAAACTGGAGATCCTGGATAGAGTGGGAGGAAAAATGTGGAACAAAATCCAAAAACACAATAATGACCAGAATTACTGGTCGGATGGACTCTGGTGGGACCCCCAATATTATGGCCCTAGGATTCACTTCGGTCCTGGAATAAAACTCACTCCCAGGGGCTGGCTCTCATAATACCTATAGTAAGTAAGACGTACACATAGACCATTCAACCAAGTGATGCACCCACATACTCTATGGAGATGCATCCTTCGGAGCAATTGACCACAGGGCACCAGAGGGGCAACATTCAATGGAGGAAATGCAGGACACACAGAAGTCCACAACTATGAGGGCCCATGTGTATGTGTGTGTGTGTGGGGGGGAGGACAGGGATGTTACTGGGCAGGGAGGGGAAGAGAGTGGGTTAGGGTTGGGGATGGTAACTGGGGAGTGAAACCAAATGTATACAAAATGTTGAATGTAAAACAAACTGCTCTGTAAACTTGTACCAAAAGCACAATAAAAAATAAAGAGGTCTTTTGCAGCAGATCTGCCCAGTGCAATATGTCATCTGATTTCTTGACTGCTGCTTTCATGGGTGTTGACTGTGAATCCAAGTAAGATGAGATCGTTGACAACTTCCATCTTTTCTCTATTTATCATGCTGCTGCTGACTGATCCAGTTGTGAGGATTTTTGTTTTCTTTATGTTGAAATGTAATCTATACTGAAGACCATAGTCTTTAATTTTCACCACTCAGGTCATCTTCACTTTCTGCAAGCAAGGGTGTGTCGTCTGCATAACGCAGGTTCTTAATGTGCCTTCCTCTAATCCTGATGCCACATTTTTCTTCATATAGTCCAGCTTCTGGGATTATTTGCTCAGCATACAGATTGAATATGAATGGTGAAAGGATACAACTCTGACACACTCCCTTCTTGATTTTAAATCACGCACTGTCCCCTTGTTCTGTTCAAACAACAGCCTCCTAGTCTATGTACAGGTTCCTCATGAGCACAATTAAGTGTTCTGGAATTTCCATTCTTCTCAACGTTGCCCATAATTTCTTATGATCCACACAATTGAATGCTTTTGCACTGTCAATACACAAGTAAACATCTTTCTGGTATTCTTTGCTTTCAGCCAAGATCCACCTGACATAAGGACCCATTTCTGTACATTCTTGGGAGGAAACATCTGGCGTACAGGGTATACTTACATTTAGCTTAGTAGATACTACCCAAATAGTTTTCTGAAATGTGTTGTAGCAATTTATCCTCATATCAGTAGTGTGACAAGAGGTCCAGTTGCTCCACTTGTCACTACTTGATACTGCCAGTCTAACTAACACATTTGAACCATTTAGGGGAGTAAGCAGCGGCATCTTAGGATTTTCTCCCTATGGTTTTAGTACATTTCCCTGATAACAAAGGATGCTGAAAATCATTTCATATGCCTACTGGCCAGAGAAAAGTTTATGGATAGTAGCAGAACGCTGATATAATGCTGTGAGAGGAGTTCTTCAGATTAGAAGGAACTCAAAATACAACTAGGGAAGAGTTGCTTTGAGTCAAATTAATGATGTGATAGAATAAATAATTCAGGACCTTCATCTGCTGATATGTCATGACTCAAAATAAAAAGAAATAGTTGCAAACATCCATTAATAATCAGACTGGGGAATGTACAAAGTATGAAATCAAGGAAAACTGGAAGTTGTCAAAAATGAAATGGCATACATGAAGATCTATCTCC